CAACAATAAAAGTGACAGAGAATCAGTGAGATTGACTGTGACACAATAACATTGAAAGTGACGGAATCAATTACATTTTGACTGACACAATGACAACATTGAATTTACAAAAATTAAGTGACCATAAGACAGTCATCAACAAGGTGACAATACCAAATGTTATTAAAACATTGTATCTGTATTTAATTGGATAATCCACAGACCGACAGTATTCTATAAGCAGTCTCAATTTGGGACATATACAGAATAAATCTGAATAAAATGGTCTTTTGGTAGACAAAAATGGTAACACAATTCCTTGTGCAAATGGTCATTAATAAACAAGATTATCTTACAGTGAACATCTGATTAATATTAATGCTCAAGTTCAACACCAGATCCAGTCTGCTCTAACATCATTTACATAAGTGGGCAATCATATAATATTATTAGCTCCGCTGTCGACTTTGTCAAGCGGAGCTTATCATATGAGTGATTACTTTTTCGACTTCTTCTTGAAAACTACAAGCCTGAATGCTTTGATACTTGGGTAGACCTCTCTCAGATTTGTTCATTTCATGATGATATCTTCAATTCTCTAATTTTGGTGAATATTTTTGTCATTTTTAGTAAAAAGTGATATTTTCGACTTCTTGTTGAAAACCGCAAGTGCAATTGCTTTGATATTACATATATAGGTACTACATGTGGACCTCTCTCAGATTTGTTCATTTTGTAATGATATCTTTAATTCTCTAATTTTGGTGAATATTTTTGTCATTTTTGGTAAAAAGTGATATTTTCGACTTCTTGTTGAAAACCGCAAGTCCAATTGCTTTGATATTACATATATAGGTACTACATGTGGACCTCTCTCAGATTTGTTCATTTTGTAATGATATCTTTAATTCTCTAATTTTGGTGAATATTTTTGTCATTTTTGGTAAAAAGTGATATTTTCGACTTCTTGTTGAAAACCGCAAGTCCAATTGCTTTGATATTACATATATAGGTACTACATGTGGACCTCTCTCAGATTTGTTCATTTTGTAATGATATCTTTAATTCTCTAATTTTGGTGAATATTTTTGTCATTTTTGGTAAA